CCCGCTTTAAATTAGTAATAAGTAATTCTAAAGGATAGAATATCTTTAGAACATACTGACTTTATTTTAAAAGACATAGTCAACTAAATCGACAATGTATTCCTTTAAAGCAGAAGACGGCGAAGTTTAATAAATATGTATTCGACATTAATGCAATATTGTTATACATGTTATGTACTAAACGTCTATGCATGGAGTCAAATAAAGAAGAAGACAAATAACTTTTCGTTCATTTTCTTTACTAATTCCTCAATAAATCAAATGCGTTTTGCTTTAAACAGCAACAATATATAATATAAACTTAAATATTTAAAAAGAAATCAAACAAATTTCTAAATCAACAAAAACAAAAAGGCGTCGGTTATGTGACCATACAATATACATGTAACAGAAAATAAAGGAAATGGTGATCAAAGAAAATTACAAAAAAGCAGGACACGCTGGTATTTAAACATATAGATAATAGATAATTATATAGAAAATAATTTTAGTTCTAAGAAAACACCGTTCAATAAACAATATAACATCAATATTGAATAGTCAATAAGCGTCGTGCTATAAGTCTTTAAACCGTGTAATATCAAACTGTAACGCTGAGCAATGTATGCAATATAAATTTTTAACAGTGCAATATGAATAATTATACACGTTAACATATATCTGGTATACAATATCAAAACTATACAATAACAATACAATTTTAACAATCAAACCTAAAAAATCAGTGATTTGAAATAGAATTATTCTAACATAGCATTTGACGTCCGAAAACAGTGTGCCAAATGTAATAATAAGCTTCAACAAACATACGCATTATAAAAAAAAAATAATAAGTGAAAAAGCTATTCAGTGGTGTGCTTAAACACATATGTAAAACATGCAATAACACAAATAATTATTATATGAGGCTATCCTCACTTCAGTATGACATTTATATGTTGATTCATTAAATAACTGCTGAAAATAAAATACATTAGAATTAATGCAACATTTTACTCTGCAACCTTCACTTACAGTGAAATTGTCTTAAAAAATCCAAGGCATTTTGACGAAGAACACCTAGGAAAGAAATGAAATAAAAATTAGTAGTTAAGTTTGATTATGCACAAAGAACTCTCGCAAGACTACTTCGTTTTCAATCTTCATCCTGAAATTCCAAAAATTCTAAACATTAGATTTCACTCTTAGCAGTCTGAACATCCTGAAATTTGAATGTGTTATATATAAATAACTCTAAGTATAAAAAAAAATAATCATATATACCTAATTTCCAGATGATTAATAAGAACGAAACAATTTCACCTTTTAAATATAACAATATTTTATTGGCATTAGCTCGTTTTAGAATTAATTCGTTTAAAACAATATTCGTATGAAAAATTACGTCTGAAATATCAATCTATATAATGTGTATATTTTCATTTGATCATTCAATTACCAAATACTGTATCAATGTGTTTATCCGGAATACCAACAACCAAGCGTCCAAAGAGTCCATGGATCTTCAACTTCTGTTTGTAACCTTTCACTGAAAATAAATATGTAACGTGTTACACCAATGTGCTTGGACGTAAGGTAAATACACAATTTCAAACACGCTTCACAATATTCCCTACTAAACAAAGGGTTTAAAGGGACTTCATCGAGGTTTTAAAGCCTAAAACATAACATTTGAATCTCTTACATAATTGAGCTAGGGCACTTTAAACAAAAATATATGCAAAGATGGTTAAGGAATATACTTTGAAATAAATTGAAAATTGTATTTATATGCCTTTCTTAGCCCGACTGAGTGAAAAGCGTTTAAATGTTTTTCATTTTTTGTTTGTTTACAATTTGAATGATTATTCCGAAAAACGAAGTGCCCGAATGATCTAAAATTTATTATGTTTTTATACATAACGGTATATTTAGATATCGATTATAGCACAATTATAATTCTTGAAGGAATTAGTTAGTTAGTGGCATTATATATCCTGCAAAATATTCACCCGACATATGGCTGATTGACACCTTATCAGCATTTAAAAGTCTTTTATCTATTATACTCATCTTCAAGCTAGGTCTTACCATTTTCAATGGGATCCATGTAGAATATATGGTCCGAATCTACGTTACAGAAGTCAGCTATACTTTGTATAGAAAGAGGGTCAAGGTTTGATGGGAATACCTTCATTACTTTGTAGTAATTTATTGATTTCGGTGCATTTACTATGGTCTGTAAACGAAGGAAAGTGAAGATATACCTAAATATAGCGGTAAACGGGAAAATAACATTTAAAAAATAATTACTTTTAAAAATAAAGAAACAAGTGAATTGTCCTTTTGAATTTATGACATCGAATATATTTTGATATAATCCCTCGCGCACAAGTTAGAAATAATAGAATGGAACATTGTAAGAATTTTCTTTTAATATAAAAAGTAATCTTAAGACTAAACATGGCGAAGTTCAATTTTGTAATTATTATGACTGAAGTTTTAAATTCATACACTACTATTAGAAAAAGTCCTAAATTGAAATATTAGTTTTAAAGTCTAATTAATATATAATATGCAAGAAAAAGAATCAAACACCGGCTGTTGTATCAGATGGAAATATCTATCTCTCGGGAAACATTTACCCTCGTGCTAGATTTTCCAGTCTGTACCGCAAGCCGGTGTAAGATTCTTATATTTTAATACTTTGATTCTTAAAACTGCCCGAAACCTTTTCAAACCAATTAAAACAGGTGTCTTTTCAGGACACCTATGATCGATTAAAACTCATCTTCATTACCTTATGTTTAGGACATTATAAAATATTTTTTTACAATTTACCTATCAAACTTAAAATGAATAATAGTTTAGTGTTTACTATATAACTAATTTACTTTTTAAACTTAAATTGAAAAATATAAGCACAAAATATCATACCCCATGCCGGTTAGTTACAGCTTTTTCGGTTCCAGGCCAGTATTTTACAACTTGTGAAATGAAACAGACTTGACTGCCTTTTGCCACAAGTGGTCTAATAGCAACTATTCCCTGAAATATAGAACAGAAATGTAATAAACTGTTAAATGCAACAAAAAACACTATCCATATTTTTGTGTTAAAAATAACACAACATGTACTGTAAATGGTGATGAATTAAGACGTTGTTGTGGTGGTGTGTGTTGGCAGTAAACCACTCTGAGTTTACCAAACACAGTTTAGCCACCGGCTCATTCCTGGGCAGGCTGTCAATCAGTTTACCACTACTAGTTGCCTTCACTTTCGCAAGGAACTGCATACTTAGAACGGATTTCATGACCAATCACAAATAAAGTGTCATGCACCGTCCGGCAATCGAACCCTGGTCGCTCGATTCACAGCCTGGACAACTCTCTACCTCTTGAGCAAACCGAACGGCCGAATTATGACGTCTAATTTCCTGTCATTTAAGTACTCAAGTTGAGAGATGTGAGAGATTAAATTTTGAGTGCATTGCTTAAAGTTACCTACGTCGAAACTTGTCTAACTGTACCGTTTAACTAAGAATAAATATATTAAGAAGTGTACAGAATAATACGCTGTTGAATGTAATACCGGTATTTAAACATACATTTTTGTTATCGAAACATTCTCTATGAATAATTATTTGCATTTTTTTTATTTTGTAAAAGAACTGGAGAAACGACAAGAAACAATTTCTAATGACTGTCATGTAAACGTGTAAATGTTTTGTGTAGTGGTTCCTTTGTTTAAATTGTAAATATATTTCACCATTTCTGTAAGTTTGTTCTTCTATTCTCTTCTATTACCCTTCAACCCCCGCGTTCCCAAATGTATTCATCCTCACTTCCTGTGATTTTCATCGCTATTAATTACACTGTATTAAATGATCAGGTTATGGGGAACAGTACCATAAACGGCGGTGTCTTAAATGATCTAAACTCTAATATGTCTATGGTGACAGCCACATGATTAAATATTTTCTATATGTTCATGCTTGGGCAGGTTGCTTGTTGACTCTAAATGTTTTAGGAATCGGGGAATCATTTTAGGTATGACTTTAAGTAGTGGTATACATGTAATTATATTTTCGTCAACTAATTCATGCTACATATAATGACGTTACCAACTGACATATATAACATTCTACCTGGTATGACCTTTTTCCCACACGCCTAAAATAATGCACGGTAGGAAAAGTGAGGCCTGAGTTCAGAAGTAAAACTTGAAAGTCTTCATTTGATCTTTACAGTGTCAGTGATACTTAAAATCCAAGAAAATCAAAGACAGAAACCAATGAAAATATTTTCCCTAATGCTACGTACCTTTTTAAAATCATCTTCTCTCGTGTTAAGATCATAAAGGCTGACAGCCGGGGAACTTTTTGCCGAGGCGCTTTCATCTGTTGCATAGTGAGTAATAGTTTTGTCAAGTTCGTGAATCTGGGCAAACTCCTTAGTCGACAAGCCTGAACCCCAATTATTCTGCCACTCATAAACCTGAATAATATATGACATCTTAATGCACACAGCTTTACTGGAAAAATAACGTAAGTAATCTTTATACAATATATGCAATACAAATAATATTTGTAATATTCAATATTGAGGTAGCCTTTTTGTACACAAATTTCTCTTCTTCAAACTATGTATTCTTTCTGATTCTGTTTTTGTCTAAAGTAAAATTTGTATGTTCCATTTATTCTTTATTACTTAATAGCTTCGATAAAATATAATCATTCCATCAGTGCTTTGCTAAAAGTGACAAAAAGTATGGAATATTTTTTTAAATGTTTTCTTTAAGCTTTGAGCCATATATCGGTGCATTATACTATAGCTATCAATGCATTATAGCAGAAAAGGACATTAATTGGTTTTCACGGATATAGAAATGCTAGTGTTTATTTAAAAATATAAGCGCTGCTGATATACTTTGCTCATCCTTGAGTAAAGTTTTTCAATCACAAAGTCATTGAAATATATTGAATTCTTACTAAATAGTTGATGTCAATAAAAATATACATAAACTTCATGTATGTGACTTCTTTCCGTATTACAGGAGAAGTAAAGTTGGTCTTTTCTTAACAAACTCCCCACAAAACTGCCAGTTTTTAATGATACTATATAGTCATATTATGGCCACCAATAGTGTGTATAAATTTAAACATAACTTATTGACTTTTGTGTGACATCAAAACATGTTTATTTTATTTTTACAAAGAAAAATGTAACAATTGAATCAAATTGAAGCATAGAATATCTTTAAGTATTTACCATAAACAATGCCTGTCTTCTGATCCCGTTGACCAGGAATATGAAATATTTTAATCAGATTTTCATATATACAATGTATGATATATCAAGAAAGTATAAACTTACCTTAGACGCTAAAATGCATTCATTAATTATTAATCCGATGAAGATAAACGATCGTAATAATTCAAAATCCATGCTGAATTTTAAAATTGTTGCTTTTCTTTCCTTCTTTAAAACAACAGTGAGTCGTGGACCTTATTTAGATGTAATGCAGTCAACTTCTGACTAAATATATTCGGATTGTTTCAGGTATATTCATTCAAAGCCCCGAGGACATCGTGGTGGTCAGGTTAGTGTGAAATATATTATTTGATGCAGATCCAGATAACGGACGCATTAAAGAAACATCTGATTTTATCTTTAACAATTTTACAATTAACACTTAAACTGGACATTAACAGAAAATTGCCTGCGGATCACACGTGACTAATTTTGTCCAAAAAGTTGTACCAGACCTGACCACAGCGGAGATGAGGCTGATATGTGATAAAAAATAATGTGCCTGGGTTATGTTATGTGTGACATATTAAAATTACCATGTTTAAGGGATACTAAGGCAAGATAAAGACACAGATATTAAAATGATCTTATGAACTCAAATCACATTAAAATGAATTTTCTTAAAAACCAAGCATGAATTTTTGTATTTATTCTATAAACTTTAAATTTGTAGCGGAAATATATATCTATATATGTTGAACGAAATTTAGAAGCTGACAGAATCACCAAGTAGTTTTAAAACAAGTTGTGTGGCTTGAACAAACCCTCGAAGTTGCAATTACATATATTGTGGATATTGTATGTTATTGATTGAAATTCATTTGAGATTCCAAAGTTCACTGTGACAACTATTGTGAAATCTTAACGCTCTAACCTGACCCGCGTGGAAAACCATCATTTATTAATACTTTATAATGAGAAAAGTTTGTTCATGTGACTGCCTAGTGTATTTATATTGAGGACATTTACAGAATATTGATTCTAAACGAAGAAATGAAAACTTTGTCTGTGTCCCCCTTTAAAACTTAACAAAGTGGCTTGGCTTGAAGTAATAGAAAGAATCTCAATCCCTGGTCAGTGAATTTTGAAATATATATGCATTTGAAACAAGCTACAATTATATCAAAATCGTGCGGACATTGAGAAATACGAAATAAGAAACATTATAGATTACAAATAATTTGACGCCTGCACTTGAAACTAGATAAAAATAAATATTTCGCTGCAGAGTTATTATCAACAAAAACAAATATTGGTTACGATGCATGCAATTGTTAGATTTGTTATGCGTTCCTTTAGATACAATAATGTTCAATATGGTGTGATAATTTTTAACTTTATCCACTTTATGACTATTTCTTCTAAACAATATGCTTTGTTGTAATACGGTGAATTTAAGTTTCCCTGTTCTAAAATATGTAACTCTTTTTTATGTTATCATAGTGAATACATTAACTAATAAATGCAAATTGTTGGCACCCAATTTCAGAATGATCAAACTGCTAGAAGTATTTTTCTATATGTCATTAAACTTAAAAAAGCAGTTTAAACGACTTTGCAATTCAGGAAATTTCATTATTGGCTAAATGTTTAAACATGGTTTATCAAATATACATACACTCGTACCTTTTTCTACCACCTTCATATTGAGATTCATAGTGTATACTTTACAAAAATACTTATTTATTAAAGTTTTAGCATGCTTGCTGACGGACACTCATTCTTCCTATGTGACCAGTGCAAAACAACAACAACACAACAACAACAACAAAAAACACACACACACAAGCAAACAGGAACACTAGTCTGGTCTGCACTGCTGTTTGCTTCTCTTTAAGTAATTTCCATTTTGCAGAAAAGTGATGAATGATTTTATCAAGATTGAAAGATGTCTATTCTAGAAATTAAGCGTGATAAAATAGATTAATTTATGGTCTCAACGCACAAACGTACCAACCGCTACTGATTCTCCCATTACGGTATTATATAAATTATATTACTGTTTAAAGTAAAGATATTTAACTTGTAAGATATCTATTTATTACGTAATGTTCTGACGTAGAATACAAATAGAGTAAATCGATGTATATTACTTTGTCTGATATATACTTGTATCTGTCAGTTCTACTTTAGAATTTGTGATTTTATGAAAGTTTTTCTCGAAAAAAGTTTTAACTCGAAAACACAAAACTTTTAGTCTCTCCTGGTTTAAAAATTAACTACATGATTGTGAATTGAGCTAAAACAAATGAAAAATATAGTTATTTTATTATTCAATGTAAGAATAAGCAATAAATCATACTTTAATAAATGTAAACAGCTTAATCATGAGCGTTTCGTGTAATATTGTCTTTACAATGGCTTGTACTTTCTGGGCAAAATTTGCATATTATATGTAGTAATTCCCGTGAAATTCAAATATGACGATTGCGTTCGGCTTGCGCAGCCGAAATTTTGTAAGAACGCTCGTACGAGATAAAATACAACATATATAAAATGATTAGTTCAAAGGCTCTTTGCCTGGAATGTTCTGCGAGCGTCTGATACGATATGATTACCTGTAAGCGTTTACTACCAGCGTATAACTCCCGTATAACTCTCCCATTCTTAACACGTGCGAAATGTGCGGATAGAAATTTCTTTTTTCTCTTTCTCTTTTGTGTACACTTGCACTGGATTATAGGACAAAACGCGATGTATCTTTTCATCTCTTTTCTTTTACACATATCATAAATTAATATCGTATAGTTAATGATAGATTAGACGTAGTGTTTATATTTAAGAGTATATAAAATACGATGCGAACTGAAGGATAAGACAGGAATTTGTATGTCGGACTTTTTGCATTTCTTTAAATCATACTCGGCGATAACCTTGTCTCTCTGCACCATTCCATTGAGGATTTTACAACTTTTCCAAGACAAGATCATGGCAGGTAATTTTGTCAATTTATGCTTTATGATAAAATTTATGTTTCAAATGGTAACAATTCCTCTAGACATAAACCAATAATTTGCATGTAAAGTATTTCTACCTTTAAAGTGGAAGAAAAACATAAAGAAATTGTAGGTTTTAACAAGAAAGATCCACATGTACAGGAACAGTAATTAATCGTCGAAAGAAAACAACGAGTAGCCTTTTTATCTCAGACGTTTATTAAAATGTGTACACAAATTCATTTTTATACATGAAAATGTATCCTAATACACTTGTCTGAATACTTCCCCTTGTAAAACATCAATGGTGTTTTACCTGCATTAATTTGTTTAGCAGACGCGCGTGTTATTTCCCTCTCTATGATGAAAATATTCCTGTTGATGTTAGGGCCGTTTTACCACCAACGCTTGTCATTCAATATCCTACTTTACATTTTCATTCATTAATTCTCAGAAATATCACAGTGAGAGAAAGCTTTCATTTAATTGTTATCGCCGAAACACGTGCTGCTTTTTGCCGCCGGTTAAGTGAATGATTTGTAATGCCTCATTACAGACCAGTGAACCGTCCCAGCACCTCTGTATTCATATATCACATATTTCAGTACTCTAAGATGTATTTTAACACTCGTTTTTATTTCAGCAGAATGCGTTTTTGCGTCATTTTGTACACGTCAAATTGAAATAAAATACTTTTTTTCTCAAACATCATTATTATAAAAACAAGTAGCCTTTATGCATACATTGTAGTTTTTTTTAAAGGCATTACATTATTTTACAAATATGTCTTCATCGGTTATCTGTTTTACAAAAAAATATAGTAGATCATAAGATACTGAAATCAAACGAAATACAGTAAAAAGCTCTGAACATTGGTGTTTTCCTTACTATATTAAGTTTATCATCTCATTTTCTCTACAGTTCAACATGTCAAAACCAGTTTTTTCCTAAACCATTAAGTAAACTCAAGTACATTTGAAACATTTTGAGATGGAGTCATATTCAACATGAGTCTTAGAAGACATGTCTGACTGTATTATTTCTTCGTCTGGTTGTACTGGTTACATGATTATAAATTGAAGAACATGTTCCTTAAATTAATAATCAAGTTACCCACTTTTTGTTTACTCGATTAATGATTTGAATCGGAAACAATTTAGTTTGTTCAATGAAGATTTACTGATAAGCCTAAAGGCTGGTGAAGTTCTCTGTGTTTTTAGTTTATACTGCCAGTGATGTAAGATATAAACAACATATGTGTGACTCAGCAAAAGATAAAATCTTGGCTGGAAACGAACTATGTTTTATAGTTTTCGTGTAGAAGTGACTTTGAAAATACAAATTCTATTACATTTTAATATAAATATAACTGTCTTCTTACGTCATTTCGGAACACAATTAACGGTTAAGTCAGACACTGTATATACTCATATAGATAACATCTATAGTTTATGTTTAACGATAAAAAGGTGTTTTCTGAATCAGACTGATTATTTTGATACTGATTACGTAACAGATGTTTTGGAAGAAGTATAAAACTTGAGGTTTATTTATTTAATGCTACCTGAATATAACACATTTGACGTAGCGTTGTAATTAATAGTATATTATTAAGAGCAAGTAAACCTGCAAAAGCTTACAATAATTCGATTACAAGTTTGCATTGACGATGCTCGTACTTCATAGCATACTTTGATGATAATAAAGATGAAATTCCTTAAAAAATGATATTAATACTAAACTACGGAGCTAAAACGAAAAGGGGCCGGGAGACCTTCACTATCCAGCTTTAAAATAAATGAATGAAAAACTGTTAAACACATGTGTCCAACAATAAATGATAACACCGAGAAAAAAAGGTTTCATTAAAAGGTAATGTATTGAATACACAGCAAACTCAAAAGAGCTCCACTGACGTCAAAAAGCCTAGAATATACATTCAATTTGTATTTGTCTTCATAGATCAAGTGATTCACTTACAAAGGATAAAAAGTCTGTGAAGGATAATAAAGAAATATACACAGTATAAACTTAAAATTCAATACTATAGTAGTAAGTACAATTCCTATGCCAAATGAGTGAAAAGTATTGTAGCGCGTTTTTAATTTTTTGGTCCTCTTTCAAATTAAAAATTATTATTCTGGAAAAACGGAGGAAAGGAATGATCTACAAATTTTCACACAAGTTATTGGTTCGGACTCACATCAAATAGTTTTTAAACATCGGGAAAATATTTCAAGTGTCAGTATGTTAAAATAAACTCAGGGGAGTCCCTTTAAAA